TGGAGAATACATGGGTTAATACCAGCAAAAACCCGAGTCACAGTAGGCACTTTTTTATTTTCTTTTTTTCCTCACACTGGGGTAAACTCAGGACCTTGCACTTGCTTGGCAGTTGCAGTGCCACTGAGCTACACCCCTGGCCTACAGTAGGCACTTTAAAAAAATTTTTTTAAGAAGATAAACTATGACAGTTATCTTGATTATGTTGATGGTTACATGACTATATATAATTGTCACTCATTGGAACTGTGCTTTTAAAAGGGTGAATTTTACTTTATGTAAATTATGTCTTGATCTGACTCAGATATTCTAAGAGAAAAAAATAGATGGATTCATCAACAAAGGATTTATTTGGTATTACATGGTGGGCTTATAAAAAGCATGCAATTCAAAGAAGCTTGCCATCCGGTTGTGCAAACCAATTATATTGCAGGATAACTTTGTGTATCAGTGAGACAAGTTAAGAGATGCTGCCGAGCAACTTAATAGTCATCCAGGCGAGAAATGCTAAAGGCTTAGAGGTAGGATTGCTTCCTGAGTCACAAAGACTTCACAAAAGAATGGAGCTGGAATTGGACTATAGACAGCAGGAAGGCAGGCATTTGGGAACATGGACACTCGAGAGGGTGCAGGTGTAATGTCTGTGGGTGGAAATGCATGTTGGGAGTTTAAGTAACCGTGAAACAGATGGATGAACCGAAAAGGTACTCTCCTACTGTGTGGGGAGCATCTGTGTTGTCCATACTAACAAACTATTTTCTCTTCATCTGTAGAAAGGCCCCCCTTCTGGGAAAGACCGGGTGAAGAAAGGTGGATCTTACATGTGCCATAAGGTAAGTCATATCACTAAACAGTAGTTCGGTGTTTTAACAATTTATGGGCCCATTACAGTAGTGACTTGGCTCATGAACATTTTTGTTTGCAAATGCTTTGGTCCACAAGCAGACTGTTTGGCAAAATTTTGTTTCTGCTTGCAAACTGCATTGAGTGACAAACGTGACTACAGCCATCTTTCCCACACAAGCACAAATGTGGCCATCTTTTCCAAAATCATAGAACAAATTAATTTTGTGAACCAAGGCACCACTGTATTTAAAAAGTAGTCCTTAAATGTTGAATTCAGTTCAGCTAATCCATACCTGTCCCCATTAAGAGCATGAAAGAGTAGGACACTTACTTCAAGTCTGGTCACAGCATGGGAAAAGTGGCTAGAGAAGCAGAACTTCTTTTTTTTTAAATACATGTTTGCAGTGCATTGTGAATACATTCATTCTGGGGAGTTGATACATGAATGTAACACATCTTAATCCTTCTTATTTGCCTTTCCTCCCTTCTTCCTTCCTGTTCCCTCCATCTCTAGATACCCCTCCCATTTGAGAAAGACCTGTTCTGTTTTCTGTAATCTTATCTTTCATTTTGCTCTTGGAATTATTTCTACTATGGGCTGCATCATAAGCCTTTTGATAACAAGGTGCATTCACTTTCCTCCAAATGATTCTAATTTAATCCTTTGATATGGCCAAAGAGTGCTCCGTTGTGTATATATACCACATATTCTTTATCCATTCATCTATTGATGGACACATAGGTTGAGAAGCTGAGGTTCTGAATGACCTTTATAAGCCAGATCCCATCTGTTGCATCTTACCTTTCTGAGAAACCTTTGTTGTTCCATAAACCATGGAAAGCTATACACTTTTTCTAGACACCTTGAATTTATATGAGACTTCTGTACATTTTGGGGATCTCTTGAGATTCAAGGAACAGTTACGGATGTTCGTAGTTTGTGGTATACCAGTGGAAATATCCTTAGGTAAGAAGGGTGTGCCTTGTGAAATATGCATCATTTTTATGCTCTTTATTATTTCATTGACAGCTTCTGGTTAATCTGAGTTACTCATTGTTTCATGAGTAGCTTTTATAAAGAATTTGGAAATCAAATATTATCCTCTTCCAGTCATCTATAACATGTCAACTTCTTTCTGTCGCTGTACAAAGGTGGCATTTTGCAGATTGCAGTTGATTGTCAAGAAGCTTTGCATAGTAATTACTCAGTCTAGGCAGTTAGAGACTTAAAACCACCTGTAACAGTAGCAAATTAAGTTACTAATTTGATAGTAGAGACAGTCACCGACTTTGCCCTAGAATAGTAGCCCTCAGACTTTATTTCACATTAGAATCATCTGAAGTCTATTAAATATACGGATGATGCCTGGTGCCTGGCTCAATCCCATTTGACTTTTCTGAGCTGTGACCTGGGCATTTGGATTATTTAAAACTCTATAGGTGTTGAAAATTTGAAAATGTACAGCAAAGTATGGGGGCCTAAAGAAAATATCTTTACATCATGTATTTGTATGTTGTATGTATGTGTGCTTTCATATCTGGTAAATTAGAATTTTTTTCAGTTTGTTCAGCTTTAATTTTTTATAGTTTCTATTTTTTATTAGTACATGTTTACATTAAACAATCATGATATACATTGTGGGGAGTTGATAGACGTACGTAGCAGGTATCAGTTCTTTTTTTAGCCTCTTAACTCTCTCTTCCCTCCTTTTCCTTCCCTCCAGCCAGCTCTATTTTTGGTACCGGGATTGTCCATCCATCTCTTGAAAAAGATCTCCCTACTTCGTTTATTCTTTATCTTTCCTTTTACTCTTTATTTATATTTTGTGTTTTTCATATGAGAGAACCATGCATTATTTGAGTTTGTGTATCTGATTTATTTCAGTTAATATTAGATCTCAAGATGAATCCATTTACCTATAAATGCTTCAGGTTTATCTTTCTTTATGGCAGAGTAGTACTCCATTGTGTATAAATATTATGTTTTCTTTATTCATTCATCTGTTGATGGGCATATAGGCCATTTCCAAGATTTGGGTATTATGAATTCTGTTGCTTTAAACATGGGGTATACATGTATTACTGTAATATGATGTCTTTGATTCTTTTAGGAAAATACCTATAAGGTGAATAGATGGCTCAAATGGAATTTGTAGTTGTGTTTTTTGAGGAATCTCTGTACTGAATTTTTATAGTGGTTTTACTAGTTTACATTTCCACCAGTAGTATAGAAGTGTTCATTTTTTCCCCCGCAGCCTCACCAGCATTTGTTATTATTTAATTTCTTGATGATAAGCATTCTTTATGTAGTAAGATGGAATATCAGTATTGTTTTAATTTGCATTTTTCTAATAGCCAGAGATGTTAAACATTTTTTAGGTATTTATTTGCCATTTGTACTTCCTCTTTTTCAGAAGGGTCTTCATTTCAGATGCCCATTTTTTGATTGGGTCTTTTGTTTGGAGGGGTCTAATTTTGCAAGATATGAGTCCTCTGTCTGAGGAATAGCTGGCAAAAATGTTTTCTCATTCTGTCAGTGGTTTTTTTCATTATTGGTTATTTCCTTTGCTGTGTAGAAGCATTTCAACTTGATAGGGTCTCATTTGTTGATTCTTGGTAGTATTGCTTGTCCTATTTGGGTTCTGTTCAGAAAGCCCTTGCCTACTCTTATGTCTTTAAAAGTTTTACTTACTTCATCTTCCATTAGGCTAAGTATTTCTGTTTTAACATTTAGATCTTTGATCCATTTTGATTTTGGTTTAGTACATGGTAAGAAATATAGGTCTGGATTCAGTCTTTTACATGAAGATAGCCAAATTTCTCAGCACCATTTATTAAAGAGGCTATCTTTATACCTTCAGTGTTTGTGTTTAACCCTTTTGTCAAAGATCAAATAGCTAAATGTGCCTGTGGTTGTTCTATATCCTTTGTTTTGCTCTGTTTATCCACATGTCTGTGTTTGTGCCACTACCCTGCTGTTTTTTATCACTACAGCTTTATAATATTTCAAATCTGAGATTGTGATACCTTCTGTTTTTCTCTTGTTATCCAGGATTATTTTTGCTGTTCTTGGTCTCTTTCTCTTCTATATGAATTTTAGCATTGTTTCCTCCAGGTTTGTGAGGAATACTATAGGTGTTTCGATTATGATTATGTTAAATCTATATATTAGTTTTAGAACTATGGCCATTTTGACTACATTGGTTCTGACTGTCTAAGAACAGGGGATGCCTTTCCATTTTCTGACATCATCGATCTTTTTTTGAGAGTACATAGTTTTTGCTTCTTTGGTTAAGTTAATTCCCAAGTATTTCATTTTTCTTGGTGCTACTGTGAATGCTATTGCTTTTCTAATTTCTTTCTCAATGTATTCATTATTGTTGTACAGGAGCTCTATTGGTTTTGTGTTCTGCTATATTGCTGAATTTGGCTATTAACCCATTTATGCCATAGATTATAATTTTTTAAAATTTTGCATGAAATTCATATAGGTTAGCTAGAAAAATTCAAGTAACACGAATTTGAAGAGATTATTATGTGGGTTGGTGAGGGGGACACCCTTGATACATATGCCACTCTGTCTCTAAACCCCAGTCTATGGCAAATGTTGAAACTGACGCACGTTCCTGTTCATATTCGTAAACAGGAAAGCAGTCTGACTATAGGTCTCTGTTGGATGTAGGCAGCAGGGCAGCGGCTCAAGCAGACTGCTGGACTCAGTGCCGTTATCTTCAGATCCAGCCACCTCTTAAAGCCACTAGCCTCCCATCACAGAGCGCATGCCCCTGTCCTTTCTGTCCTGGACTTGAACTTCTCAAAAGATCTGTTTCCACCCCTGACCCTCCCCATGTCTATCTCCTGTGTAGCTGTCTCTCACTCTGTCACTGTGGTGCAGTAACACTGAAAATCCTGGAGGGATGCTATAGTGTAGTTGTTTTAGGGCTTAATCCCACACAATCAGCCCCTTCTCAAAGTGGCACCTGATTAAATTCTCTCTGGCAATATGGCAGGCACTGCACTACATTTCTTCTCCAACTGTCTCCTGCCATGAAGAAGTAACTCTCAGGATAAAACCCCACACTGTTTTTGTAATTTGCAGCAGCAGTTGGCTTGTCTTGGTGGTGGCTGTGAAGCTGCCATTCTTTAGAGCTCACCTTTTTTCTCAGTGAGTTGGCGTTGTCCACTGATCAGCTTGGTCAGGTGTTTGTCATCTCCACGGCCCTGTGCTGAGGGGAACCAAAGCATAGAACCAGTGAGAAATTAGTAGTTTGACATGGCCAGGGCATAGAATCTATGGTGTGTAGTTGGCTGGGGATGAATTTGGCATGGCGCAGCTTGCCTTCCCCTCTTGAAAGAATCGGTTCAGGTGCAAGTTGATGGACTTGACTTCAATTTGTCCTTACATTTACATTTATAAAAAGATGTGGACAGATTTAACTTTATAAAGTCATTCATTCATTCACTGATTCATAAATCTCACTATGCTACCCAGACTGACTTTAAAGTCCTAGGCTCAAACAGTCTTATTGCATCAGCCTCCTGCAGTAACTACAGGTATGAACCACTCTCTAAAATCTTATTTTATTTTTTTTCTCATTAAGTTTATTGGTACATTTTAGGGATTCAGTACGGTTACATTCATCATTGGGATCTTGTACCTTTACATGACAGGTCTTAGTTCTCATTTTTTTCCCCTTGTCTGTGCCCTCCCTTCACCCCCTCCTCCCCTCTGCATTTCCAAACACTTTTATTTCCATTTTTTCATTTTCTCCTGTTTTTTTTTTCTTTTCCCTTATTATCTTTCCCCTACCCTTGCCACTTCCCCTACACCTTTAGCCTTTTCTTCCTATTTCACATTGTCAATTACACTGTTAGGATCTTATGTACCATTATAGTTTTTCACACCAGAGAAACTATTTCGTATTTACACATGTGTGACTTATTTATTTCACTTAGGAGTATATCCTCAATATGTATCCATTTTCCTATGAATGACTCTAATTTCTCATTCTTTATGGCTGAGTAGTATTCAATTTTATAGAAAAACCACATCTTCTTTATCCAGTCTCCAACTGATGGGCAAATGGGCTGTTTCCAAGTTTTAGCTATTACAAACTGTGCCGCTGTAAAACATAGGTGCGTATATATCACTGTGATATGATTCTTTTAATTCTTTTGGGAAGATACCCAGCAGAGGGATGGCTGGGTCAAGTAGAACCTCTAGTCCCAGCTCTTTGAGGTATCTCCATATTAATTTCCATAGTGGTTGCACTAGTCTGCTCTCCCACCAATAATGGAGAAGGGTTCCTTTCTCCCCACAGCACTACCAGCATTTGTTATTGTTTGATTTCTTGATAGCAGCCTCTCTTTTTGCGGTGAGGTGGAATTTCAGTGTTGTTTTCATCTGCATCTTTCGAATGACCAGTGATGTGGAACATTTTTTTCATATATTTACTTGCTGCTTTTACTTCTTTGTCTGAGAAATGTCTGTTCATTTCAGATGCCCATTTTTGAAGTGGGTCTTTCTATTGGGGGGTCTGATTTTTTAAAGTTCTTTATATATTCTAGATAAGAGTCATTTGTCTGAGGAGTAGCTGGTAAAAATTTTTTCCCACATTATAGGTTGTCTTTTAGTTCTGTTGATGGTTTCTTTTGCAGTGCAGAAGCTTTTTAATAAGTTGAGATCCCAGTTGTTGATTCTTTATGCTAGTTCCCGTGCTACTGAGTATTTGTTCATAAAGTGTTTTCCTATGCCAGTGTCTTCAAGAGTTCTGCCTAACTGTTTGAGGAGTAGCTGGTAAAAATTTTTTCCCACATTATAGGTTGTCTTTTAGTTCTGTTGATGGTTTCTTTTGCAGTGCAGAAGCTTTTTAATAAGTTGAGATCCCAGTTGTTGATTCTTTATGCTAGTTCCCGTGCTACTGAGTATTTGTTCATAAAGTGTTTTCCTATGCCAGTGTCTTCAAGAGTTCTGCCTAACTTACCTTTCAGCAAATTTAGTGACTCTTTTTTTAATATTTAGATCTTTAATCCACTTGAATTTTAGTTTAGTGCATGGTGAAAGGTAAGGGTTAAAATCTTATTTTAAATTAGAAACATTTAATTTAATACGTCATGTCTTCCTGATACAGTACATGTTTACATTACACATCATAGTCATTAGTCCTAGATTGTCTAATCGAAGGGAACACTATAAAGTGTTCTTGGATCCTCTTGCTGGGGAACCAAACTTCCATGAAAAGCAGGTCAATCTGTTTTATGTAATAGTATCTAAAAACCCCAATTGCTATCACTTATAGGTCTGGTAAAAGGATACTTTTCTTAACTGAGGGTTTTTTTTTTTTTTTAACTTTTCTTGACTGAGAAACTGTTACTCTGAAAGTAATTGGGGACCAAAAGACTATGTATTGATAATAAGTTTATATTACAAAACAAACCCCCACAACATTTTAAACAATTAAAGATAACTAAAATATACCAATTTTTTGATTATGAATTTGTCCATTTCAATACTTTTTAGCTTGCTGTTATTTACATTTTCATAAGCTTCTTAGTCTTTTAAAAATATTTGTCAATTTAAAATATGCTTTTATACATTTAACAGGGTATAATTGACCTTATATTCTCTGAGCCTTGCTAAACATATCTACAATGTTTTTGTAGAATCTTATCAGATTTTCATAAAATTGATCATAAAATCATGTGCTATAGACAGTTTTACTTCTTCCTTTTTAGTCTAGATGTATTTAACATTTTCTTCCTATATTGTCAGTATGTCAAGTATAGTCTTGAATAGAATTAATTAGAATAGATGTTTATACCACATTCTTTTTTTTTTTTTTTCTTAACAGACAGGTTCTCACTATGTAGTTCAGGCTACCTTTGAACTCACTATATATCCAGGATGGCCTCAAATTCAGGACAGTCCTGCCTCAGCTTCTCAAGTGTTGAGATCACAGGCATGTGTTACTCTCCCCAGCTGTACTGTATTCTTGATCTCAGGAAATGAACATTCAAGTTTTAAAAATTAGGTGTGATATTAGTTACAAGTTTTTCATAAATGCCCTTTATCAGATTAAGGAGTTTTGCTTCTAATCCTAGTTTTATGTGAGGGTTTTCTTTTTTTAAAAAATTTAGCAATAGGTATACATTTTTCTAGATACTTTTTGGCATCTATAAAGAGATTGTATGGTTTTTCTTTTACAGTCTGTTAATATGGTGGCTTACACTGATTGATTTTTCAATTATTAAACTGTGCTTGGGGCTACATCCCACTTAGTGGGATGATTTATATTCTTTTATATATTTTGGATTCAGTTTGGTAAAATGTTGCACATTTTTGCATTTAGTTTGTGAATTTTAGTCATTTTCTTTTAATATCTTTGGTTTTGGTATAAGGGTATTACTGTTCCTAGATTAAATTGGAGAGTATTTCCATATCTTCAGTTTTTAGGAAGAGTTCATGTAGAAGTAGCATTATTTCTCCCTCAAGTGGTTGACATTCCCTAGTGAAAGCATTTGATCATAAAGTAATGTATAAGTCTTATTTTCCTTACTATCATCAAATGCATGAAGCAGACTAATGTGTTGAAAAAAGAGATTTATTTTGGCTTATGATTTTGGAGGTCCAAGGTTGAGGGCCCACATCTGGTAGTGGTCTTCTTGCTGGCAGAGTCCTGAGGTGGTATAAGAATCATGTGGCAAAGGACAGAGAGCATGTACATGTGTGTAAGCAGGCCTGTCTTTCTGTCTTCAGGCCTTTCTCCTTCTTATAAAATCATAAAGATTCATGGAGTCTACCCTAGTGATTTTACCTAATCCTAATCACCTCCCAAAGGCTCTACTTCCAAACACCATTATAGAATTAATTTTTCACCCTCAGTACCTCACACTGGGAATTTAATTTTAACACATGAAGCCTTGGAGAACACACTGAAACCAGAGAAAGTTGTAACTGTAACTTTAACTTATTTAGTAGATGCAGGTCTCTGTAGGTTATCTGTTTCTACTTGATTAAGCTCTGATACTCTGATAATTTATGTCTTTCAAGAAATTTATACCTTTCATCTGAGTTGCTGAATTTATTGTTAGAATGTCTACCTTTTCATTGGGTATCTAGGCCAATTATAGTTAATAAGATTATGAATATGGTTTATGTTAAATGTGTTGTCTTGATACTTTTCTTTTTTCTCTATTATTTCCTTTCTTTTTCCTTTTTATATAAATAGTTTTTAATCACTCCATTTCTCTCCTAGGGCTGATTACTTGTAATTCTTTGTTTTATAATTAGTAGTTGATTCAGAATTTATATTATACATCTTTAATTTTTCCTAGTCTACCTGAAGGATAAGTTTTAATTTAGTCAGGCTTAGAGTGATGATGAGCATACACCAAGAAAAGCACAGGATTTTTGGAGAAAAATGGCACTTCCAGTATCTTGGTTAAGTAAATTGTTCATGATTAGGTGTTGATATTGGTGTTGTTATTTCAGTGAGGCCAGAAAAACAGCTCATTAATTCTACAGTAGCACAGTGCTTTAGCTATTCCATTAGATTCAAAGTGGCAGCTCTAAATTATGAAGATGTGGGTTTTGGAATTATATTGAGTTTGGAGTTCTGTAATTACTTCTTGCTAGTTGTATGGTCTTGGACAAATTGTTTAACTTTTCTAATCCTCAGCTTTCACATTTTGTAAAATACACATCATAATGGTGTCCACTGTAGGGTTCTTATGAGGAATAAATGGCACACATATGTAAGTATTTGATAGAAAGCTCAGTAAAATTTAGTTACTCTTATCATCTTCATCCTTAACCATCATCCTATTATAATTAAATTATTTCCCCCCTTCTCTTTTGAAGAAGGACACAAAAGAAGAATTTCAAGTTCTTAAGTAGAAATGTTGCTTGTAGAGCAGGTGAAAAATCAACAAAAGGAAGGACTTATTTTTTTTATCATGGGCCACAGCCTTTTTGCCTGGCTAAAGTAAACTCTGATGATCATTCATACTTTTTTGAAAGTCTAACACAACTTCATTAAGGAGAGCATAGAAAGAGAAACTATGAGGCTATATAGGGTCCAGTTAAAAGCACAGACTCTGGAATGAGGTAAAATAGCCAGGAATTAGGAATCTATTAGTGTGACCCTAGGTACACTATTAATGCCAACTGGCTTCAGTTTTTTCTCTTGTATAGATGTAGATCCTTATAATACCTCCATTATAGGAT